TTTTGTCCCATTTTCTTTCTCCCATTTTTCAATTTCACTCACCTCTTTCACCATTTCTCCTTTCTCGCTTTCTTTTTCCTATTTTTCTCACGGCTCTCTTATCTCCCTCACCACCCTCCTCCCACCTAACTCACCCATCCCCCACCATTCCTCCTCCACACTCCCCCCACCCCCAAATCTTACTTACCCATCCTCTACCACCCATTACCCTCCCTCCTTCCCCACCACACCTCCACCACTCCCTCTTATCCTCCACCCTCCCCTCACTTCCCCTTCCCCCACCACTTACCATCCCCCCTCCCTCACCACTTCCTTCCCTCATTACTCCCTCTTCATCCACGACTCTTTACCCCTCGCCTACCACTTTTCCCCCACCCTCTTCCCCCACCACCCCTCCCCACTACCACTCCCCCTCCCCCCTCCCCCTTCCCCCTTCCCCCACCACCCCTCCCCCCCCACTTCTTCCGTCTCCCCCCTCCCACTACTTCTTCCCCCTTCCCCTTCTCCACTACCACCCTCCCTCTCCCTCCATCCCCCACCCTCCCCCATCCCCCCCCTCCTTACCTCCCCTCTTCCCCTTCCCCCCCCCACCCCACTCTCCCCCTTCACCCCACCCCACCCCAGAGCCAAAGTCGCAACGTCAACCCCTTTGACGACACCCTCACCCTCGTGTACCCCAACGGGCGGGTCCTCCACGCCCCTCCAGCGAAACTTCACACCTCCTGCGTCGCCGACCTCACCTACTGGCCCCACGACACCCACAACTGCTCGGTGGTCCTGGGGTCCTGGGTACACCACGGCTACACCATCGACTTCAGACTCCTGGAGAAGGAACCGAAGGTATGGTGTGTGTAGAAAGGGGGGGGGTGTGGGGTGAGGGAAAGGGGGTGAAGGGTGTGGGGGGTGAGGGATAGGGTATAAGGTGGGTTGGTGTGTTGGTGTAGACCAGACTCCTGGAGAAGGAACCGAAGGTATGGTGTGTATAAGGGGGGAGGGGTGTGGGGGGTGAAGGATAGGGTTTAAGGTGTGTTGGTGTGTTGGTGTAGAGACGGAGGTATGGGTGTATGGAGAGTGTAAGGGAAAGGGAATAATGGGGGGTGTATTGAGGGAAAGGGAATAAGGTATGTTGGTGTATGGCCGAAGGTATGGGTATCGGGTGTGTATTGAGGGAAAAAGGGTATAAGGTGTGTTGGTGTAGAGCCGAGGGTATGGGTGTTGGGGGTGTATTGAGGGAAAGGGTTTAAAGTGTGATGGTGTGTTGGTGTAGAGCCGAGGGTATGGGTGTAGGGAGTGTGTTGAGGGGAAGGGTTTAAGGTGTTTTAGGTGTCCATGGGTGTAGAGGGAGTGTGAGGGAAAGAGTATAAGGTGTGTTGGTGTAGAGTTGAAGGTATGGGTGTAGGGAGTGTGTGAAAGAAAGGGTATAAGGTGTTTTAGGTATGTTGGTGTGTAGGTGAATGTGTGAGAGGGGGTGTATGTGTGTGTCGGTGGTTGGTGGGTGTGTTTGTGGGGTGCGTTGGTGAGAAGGTGGGTGTATGTGTGAGTGGGTTGGTGTGTAGGCGGATAGGTGTGTGTGTGTGGATGGTTGTATGTGTGTGTGGATGCACTGGTTAGTATGTGATTGTTTTTGTGGGTGGGTGTATGTGTAGATCGAGGAATGACTGATTGTGTATGTGTGTGTGTGGGAGGTGAGTGTATGATAAGGGTAGTTAGAAAACCGAATATGTATGTGTACGTTTAAGGGGATAACTGATGTAGGAATTGGTGAATATTTATGTGTATGTGTATATTTGGGCTGTGAATGGTTGATCCCATGTTAAGAGGTTGACCCTTTTCCCATTATGTGCATTTCTGTGTATGTTGTGAATGTGAAGTTGTATTTAATGTGAGCCAGAGTTTAGGGGGGGTTGTTTGAATGTGTGATTGTGTGTTTGTTTTCAAGGAGGTATGTGTATGCATTCTTTGTTGCATGTATATAAAGATAAGTGCAAACTTTACCTCTCGTTTTCCATGTAAAAAAAAAATCTACTGGTACAATATTTTTCTTTTTCTTTCGCTCTCCCTGTCTCTATTTCCCCTTCTGAGTCTGATCATAAAAAAAACAAAATGTATTGACTTTCCCTTTTTCCTCGAAAACATTACAAACCTTTCAACGTTTTGAGAGCTTGGCGAGAAAAACGTTTTTTATTTTTCTATGGCTAGAACGAGCGTTATCAGGAAACTCAATCTTTTATTTATTTATTTTTATTTATATTTTTTTTGGTATCAAGTGTTTTCTGATTTCTCCCTCATTCGCTTCTCTCTGTCTCGATTTTTCAGTATATATATATATATATATATATATATATATATATATATATATATATATGTATATATATATATATATATATATATATATAATATATATATATATATATATATATATATATATATATATATCTTTTTTTGTCTATCTTTCTCTATACACCTGTCTTTCTTTTATTCTTTATCTGTTACATGTTATATATACATACATACATATATTATATATATATATATATTATATATATATATATATATATATATGTGTGTGTGTGTGTGTGTGTGTGTGTGTGTGTGTGTGTGTGTGTGTGTGTGTGTGTGTGTGTTTGATCTGTTTTTACGCATTTTATATATATATATATATATATATATATATATAATATATATATATATATATATATACTCACACACACCACACACACACACACAACACACACACACACACACACACACACACACACACACACACACACACACACACACACACACACACACACACACATCATACACACACACACACACACACACACACACACACACACACACACACACACACACATATATATAATAATATATATATATATATATATATATATATATATATATATATGTATGTATAGTTAAATATATATATGTATATATATATATATATATATATATATATATAATATATATATATATATATATATGTATGTATGTATGTATGTATGTATACATAAATTCTAATATCTGTTCATCTTCCATTTTTCCTATCTATCTCCCATTCATCCCCATCTTTCTTTTCATATTCTCTCTTTTATTCTCACCGTCTACGATCACTATTCGCCAGTTTTACGTGAAATATCACCTTCAAGCGCTGTTTCTTTTTACGACATCCCTTCCCGTTTAAATTTTTGAATGTTTAAGCACAAATAGAAGTCACTGCATTTGATGGGGGGAGAAAATAATTTATTGGAAACACTTTGAAGGTAAAAATTCGAAGGAAAATTGACGTAGAGATGGAGATGATGCTGAGAAGTTGAGCGGAAATACTTAATGATATTTTAGGAGAGTGATAAATGAAGTGATTTGATTATTTTGAGGATGATGAGAATGATGATGATGATAATGCTTGTATTGTAGTGATGAGCGGGATTGCAGATGATAATGATAATGATAGTGATAATAATAATAATAATAATAATAATGATAATAATAATAATGATAGTGATGGTAGTAAAGTTAACAATATTCAATCGTTATTTAGAAATGTTGAACTAGCGCAAACATAATTGATTCTTAATCAAGACACAAGGGGGGGGGGGGTGGAGGGGTGTTCCAGGCAAAAGGGGAGGGGGGTGGAGGGGGTGTTCCAGGCAGAAGGGGAGGGGGAGGGGGGTAGGTGCCAGGAAGAGGAGGGGGGGAGGGGGAGGAGGTGCCAGGAAGAGGAGGGGGGAGGGGGAGTAGGTTCCTGGAAGAGGAGGGGGTGGAGGGGGGAGGTGAGGGGGGGGAAGACAAACCCCATGAAAAAAAAAAAGTGTAAGATTTTTTCTCATTATATTTATACTTTCTCATCGTAAAACCTGTGATATAAATGACTGTAATTGCTTTATGTTGAAATCATTATTATTTTCTTTTTAATTCGGCTGGTATATTTAATCAGTTTGTTGAAT